AGTCACTTAACATCAGGTGAGCCACATGCTCGTTTGCCCCCTCTTCTATAAAAAAAAATGTTATATATTATATATAACATTAAATATTTATTTATATTATATTATTTATTTTTATAACATTTATGAAAATAAAAAATATCAACAGAATATTTTTATTCATTTAATCAAGATTCCTAATTTCCTGATTTTATTATTATTATAGTAGAGGGGGCAAACGAGCATACGGTTCACCTGATGTTAAGTGACTACCGCCACCCATGAACAACTATAAAACCAGGGGAATTGCAGGTGCGTTGCCGTCCTTTTAGAAAGGAGTAAACACTTTTGTTAAAGGTCCCTAGGTCGTATCTAAACTATTCCACAGAGAGCTCTTACGCGGTTAGATGCGATAAAATACGCAAAGAGATGCAACATCTCTTCGCAGCGCCTGTAAATCGAGCCGATCGGAAAGCACTCGGTCGTCGACGATTCGAGTCGCTCTACGCTGGACGCGGTCAAGTGGAAGGAGCTGGCACTGGGAAGCCCTAGCCCAGAGATGGGAACAGTATTTCATATGAGGCCGAACCAGCGCCTTGTAAAGTTGCAGATAGTGTGCAGGCATGAAATACTGTCCCGCTCTGTCACCCGCATAGCAATGGATGTTACCGCTTCTCAACATATCATTGATATGCGGAAGAAACAGCGTTGGTGACAGCACGCAGCCTTGTGAAACGCCAGCATTAATAGGCTTGTAATCGGCGCATGCACCGTCTACAACGACCTTGATGCTCCGATCTGCAAGAAAGCTGGTGATCCAATTGCACAATTTCTCGGGAAGCCCATAAGAAGAGAGCTTCGAAAGAAACCCTTTGTGATAAACCCGATCGAATGCCTAGGGTTCTGCTGCCTCCAAATGGGTGTGCCCCCAAATGAGTTAGGTAACCTGGAAAATCACCAGCTCAGCGACCGCGACGGAAACTGTATTGGCGTTGTCTAATCACCTGGTGATCCTCAAGGTACCGCATGAGCTGGCAGTTTATAATGGATTCCATTATTTTGGAGAACAAGGAGGTGATGGCGATAGGCCCATACTTGGACAGATCAGAGCGGTTACCTTTTTTAGGAATCGGGTATATGAAGGCTATCTTCCATGATTTCGGGACTACGCCTAGGGAGTAGGAGTACCGCAAAAGATGCGTTAGAACTAACTCTGGAGCACAAGTCCTCAGCACTATTGGGGGGATTCCGTCAGGCCCACTCGACTTGTGGATGTCTAGGAACCAACCGCTGTGTGAACCACACATCCGGCATGGACCACTATCACCGCGGGATGGTCGGCGGTGTGCTACCCCCATTATCGAGAGTCGAGTTAGATGCAAAGAAAGAACCTAGAAGATCGGCCTTCTCCTTTGCGGCATGGGCCAGTGAATTGTCCTCCCTGTACAGAGATGGAAGAGATGGCTGACAGAGATTCCCTTGGACAGCCTTGGTGAGAGACCAGAATGCACGGGTTCCAGAAAAAAGGCGAACTAGTTTCTCGCTAATTCTGCCTATGTTCTATGACTTTGCATTGGCAATGACTCTTTTGTAAGACCTGGAGACGGAATTATACTTATTTTTTAGGGCACTGGTGTTTACATCCCTGGACGTTGATGCGTCAGCCCACGCCTGGCAGTATGATGCTATTTTACACTAGCGACTAAACAATGGCTGAGATTTACCTCCGATAGGTACCTCAAAGGAAGGAATAAAAAGTTCCATACCCTGAAGTACCACCTCAGCGACAAAATCAGCAACAACGTTGAGATCTTCTGGCGAAAAGCAGTACAACAGGGAAGGTGCATGATCCTTCACATCTGAAATCCGCGTAGGTGAAGTAACGAGTTGTGTCAGACCATATGCCAAGGCATGGGTCGCCTTAGTCTTGTTGTTCAGCTTTCCCCAAGCAGTTATTGTCTTTAGCGGAATTTAGCAGAGCACCCGCGCTCAGGATTGGAGTAGCTTGTTCGTGGATGCTCAGTGAGGGATTCTCCATGGGTGTTGATACCGTTCTGGGGTAGTCTAACATTTAACTCAGCTACCATGTTGAAGGGGTGGGGGAATCGGGCCTCCGGCCACCTGCACTCACCAGACCAAACGCGGAAGCAGAGCTTCCACTTCACGCTGGTATTCTGTGAGGTCGTGGTAACCACTCCAGCTCGAATCAGGATTTATGTGCAACAGCAGAAGCTGCCGCGTGGCTCTACTACTGGTAAAATTCTTGTTTTAATTTATTCAAAATAATTGTAAGCAACGATAAAATATCGTTGCTTACAATTATTTTTAAGGGTTATATAGCCCGAATATTTGAAGAAGTAAGAGGTAATAATTAAAGGTGAATAATATATACTTGTAATTTTTTACTGTCCTAGCAGTGCTGAAGAAATTATATCTGCGAATGGTCTGCGCCAGTGATGACGACTGATCCTTTTCTCACCAAGTGACGTTCTTGGCTTGGTTCTTGTTTGCTTAGTTATTTAAAATGTTACAATTTTCTTCTGTATCATGGAGGCAGTTTACATATATAAATTTTATAAGGACAAATATTCAATTCAAATATTCATACAAATACTTGTGCGGGGTTCAAACCCGCGGCCTTTAGCGCAGCAGCTCATTGCTAACAACGGAACTTTATGCTCTTACCTCAAAGACATAAATGTATTTAACTTCACTTGATTTCATTTTTGAGCATTAATTGGAGAAGATAATAATAATTATATTTTATCTATGAGCTAGCTAGAGTAATTTATTCCACAGCTATGCTGTTTTGATTGTACTTCAACGATAGCACAGAAAAATAACAAATGGAGAAAAACCATACGGATTTTATCGCATTTAATTAACTTATTTTTAATTCCTGACGTAGATCGGACCAAAAAATAATATTATAAGAAATAATAATATTAAATACTGAAGGTAGCCGGGCTAACTATGACATTGGGACGTCAAATATCTCAGTCCCCTCGTTACCATGGGTGCTGTAAAGCACCTGAAACAGGGTGGTACACTTCCATACTTTAGGTTGGGGTTCAATAATTTGCAAAGACACTAGTGCCATCTTGTACGATATCCGCATAAACTTTCGAACATTAAATTCTAAAAGGTGCGCTAGATGGCGACTACACCAATTCTGGTTATTCTCGACCTGTAAGTAGCAAGTAGCAACTTTATATGACATAATGGCTACCGGAGTCTGAGCAAGCTACAATAAGTTTGGTTGAGTTGGGATTAGCCCTCTGTTTCTTGTTGTCTGTTTATATTTTCATGCTGGAACGACATTGTATGTTTGTGTAGTGTTGTGCGAAATAGACGTTTTCATTTATCATTCCGGTAGCCCGGTGGACATATTTAATTTGGTTTGGTGTTGTATTTTGCGGAATAGACGCTTTGACATCGTGTATGTGAAATATATATTACAAAAATAAATGTTAATATTACTGAAATCTATAATGCCATCAAAACATAACTTGTAAAACAAAACCAAGTCTCGCAATATAGTTTTTCTATCGTAAAAAGTTGTGAGATCTACGTAACACCAAGTCGGTTAATTTATTCAGTCGCTACTTAAGGGTCATTCTGTCTTAAGTTATTAGATAATTAGCTAACCTAATAACATCTTATAGTGACCATATCAGATTAAAAATCTTTTATGTTCTAAATAAATGGATTGACTTGGCCATCACATGAAAATATAATGTATCTCAAAAGTAATACATATTATATTAAATTAGATTGTTTAATGCGATGGCCAAGTCCATCTATTTATTTAAAATATAAAATATTTTTAATATTGATATGGTCACTATAAGATGTTATTAGGTTAGCTAATTATCTAATAACTTAAGACAGAATGACCCTTAAGTAGGGACTGAATAAATTAACCGACTTGCTGTTACATGGATCTCACAACTTTTTACGATAGAAAAACTATATTGCGAGACTTGGTTTTTTTACAAGTTATGTTTTGATGGCATTTCATTTCTTTTTGTAGATAGTTCTACTTTTTGCCTTTCCGGTACCTTCTACTGCTTGAATACCAACAACGGATTTTTTCAAAGCTCACTCTCTGACTTATGAGCTTTTCTTATTTTTGTAGGTAGTCTTCCTCTTTTTCTTTTCCGGCACTACTTCTTGAGCTTCAGCTACAGTTTTTCTCAAAGCCCACTCCCCTGTCTCTATGGGTTTTCCTCGGAGGTTTTAATGTTACAATTTTTGACAAGTCTGGGCGGTAAATGCTTCTTAGTCTATTGTATTCACAAATTGAGGATTCCTGCGCTTTAATACTTCTAAAGTCGACATTAATTAAATGTAATCCGCCCAGACTTGTAACTCTCGAAAGTGCCACGTAAGCTTGACCGGATGTGAATACTGAAGAACCAATATCCATCAGCGCATTATTTAGACTCAGGCCCTGACTTTTGTGTATAGTTATAGCATAGGCTATACATATGAATTAGAAAAAAAATATACATATATTTTTGTATTTTCTGGGTCAACCTTTACTTTTTGCACTATACCGATAGAACCATTAACTAAACCAAGACTCACGTCAATATTTCGCCTTAACATGACTTTTGCTCCTATTTTTATAATTATATTCTCTTCCAGGCCCGCAGTCATAGAAGCATTGTCTTCATATTTTTTATGCACTCATGAGCTCTTTTTGTTAAGTATCTGGGGCAATCTATGCTATCTACAGCTGTAAGTTTTATTTCAGGATGTGGGAGAGATCTAAGCATTGCAGTATTTAATTGTTGACACATGTTTTTTGTAGGTAATAAACAAACGGTATCATCAGGTAGTTTCGAGAGGTGTTCAATAATTTCAAATAATCTGTTTTCATTTGAATCGGATTCGAGAGTTATTAATCTAGTCGAGAGTAAATCGCGGTCTTTTCGGGTAGTCACACCTAATCTTATTCTATTTAGCATTTCAACAAAGCCGGAATCATTGAGCTGTCGCATGTTAATTGTTAGTTCATCCTATATGAACAGATCAATCCATAGATTCGGCATACTGTGGGAACCTAACAACTTTTTAGATTCGGCAGTTGACAGTTTTTCAAAAGATGACTTTTCTCTTACTGGTGGGAGCTGTAAGAGATCTCCGAAAACTACAAGATGTTTTTTTCCAAACCACCCATTCTGATCGTCGCTTGTGTCGAATATCTCAGATAAGCGTAAATGAATATATGTCAAAGTAACGTTGGATATCATCGACACCTCGTCTATGATAAACAATACTACTTCTTTCAAATCTGATCTCAGAACTTGGAGCACTTCATCAGAAAGTGGCTTGTACTTCGGTGTTTGCTTGTGTTCCACAGGCAGCTGCAAAAGCCTATGTATAGTCAATCCATTCACATTGAATGCAGCTATTCCTGTTGGAGCACTAACTGCCACTTTTTTATTTAAATACGTTTTAACCCAAACTTTCAGAGTTTTTATTAAAAAGCTCTTTTTAGTGCCACCAGTTCCACTTACAAAACAGCGTAAAACGTCAGCGTTACTATCGGTTGTGTCCATTTTATTTGTGATCATATCGAAGACTCTTTTTTGATCGGTATTGAGTTTTGCGATCATACTTTGAAGATCAGTCTGCTTTACTTCTACTAGATTGATTCTCTGAAAGTCATCCATTGCGTTTGCAGCTTCTACAGCTTCAAAGTCTAAAGGGTTTTCAGGACCGTCGTCATTATCAACAATTTCCCTCTCTTCATTTATCTCAGCAACTTTAGATTCTATCATTTCAAATGCTTTTTGTATCCTGTATCTGGACTTTATCATTGAATTACCGTAATCGATTCCTTCTTTTAAATCTTCTTTCGCAAAATTAAAGGCCTCCGTGTAAGTATCACACCCCATTTTGAGTTCATCTAAGGAACGCCATGGCTTGAATAAAAGAAGTAAAGAGAAGAAGTATTTCTCTGGTACTTGTTCTCCGTCGTAGAAATAGTGATTAATTAAATATGGATTAGCTCTTCTTTTCAGAAACTTTTTACCATCATTTATCTCGTAGTACTTGACTTTAGAGGAGACTGGGTGTGTTTTAACAATATCGTAATTTTGAGCGAAACTATATAAGTTAGTATTCTCCAATTCTTTAGGCCGTTTAGGATAGTGGTCATCAATCCAAGACTCTTAATAAATATCGGTAGACTCCGGTTCTAGCATCATGATATCAGATTTAGATTTAACGCGCCGGTTGCGAAAGATGTTAACGTCGAGCCATCGAATTGTTGTGGTAGCATCTGTACCGTACAAAGGAATACCAAGTAGAGTGTCACTGGCTTCCAAAGAGCCGCACTCTCTATTAGACAATACTCTAAGGCCAATGTTAAACAGGCGGCTTCTTAAGGGTTTTGTAGAGTTTATGTCTTGAAACATATCAGCAACGTGAGTTTTCTCGCTTTTGGTGGTATATTTAGTGACGTAATAATTTAAAATAGCTGTTTTTTACCCTACATATTGAATGTCTGTATTGCCATTCTATGCTAGCAAAATAGCGGGATTATAATCATTAATCATAACCCATTCTTTTTTTCGTACAATATAGTAAAGTCTACTGTTAGGGGACAATGTTTTTCTTGCAGCTATTGATTCTATTATATCTCTAATAATAAGTATTTCTGTGACCGGGCGGGGGAATCCGAAACGACAAACTTTTACGAAACCTCGTCTTGTTTTCTTTTGGCGCATGCAATACTTATTATGTTTATGGGTTTGATTCGACGTAACTCGTTGATAGAGTGTTGGTGAAACATTCTTGTCAGGTATAGCACATGTTACGTACTTTGAAATGAATGATGCAACCACATCAAGCGAGGACTCGTGAAGTATGGGGGCGTCTTTTACCCATAACATTAAATGAAAGTGTTGCGCTCCACGGGATTGATATTCTCGTCTCCAAAAGTAATGTATTACTTTTCCAAGCGGCTCATCGGACGACATAATGAAGTCCAACATAGCTTTAAACTTGTTATCAATAAATCGAGAAGTGGAGACAGGATCTAGTGCAACTAATTCACTTATGCTCTTGTTCGCAATTTCAGGACCGTTAACTTCCCTAAGGTACTCACCTAAATCATCCCACATCCATTCCGAAGGACTCATGGTGAGAAACCAGGTTGCTGGCCCGTAGTATTGAGTCATACAGATGACATCATTTCTCGGTTTTTTCCAAAACTGTTCCGTATTTCTTAGCCTACCAAATATCGCTGTTAAGTCACCTTCTAACTCATCTTTATTAAGCATCTCAAAATATTGTTCGGCTGTAATTTTTTGTTTTTGATTAACGCAATTCATTTTTTAGAATATCCCTGAATTTATTTGACGTATATTGGCATCATTATGTAGGAAAAATAAATACTGTTGATTTAGGCGGAATTGAGAGTGTTTTGACATTAGTCTTGCTTTAATATATTCACTAGATGCTAACTTTTGCTGCCGAACATAAAACTGCCCATATTTACCTTCTACGTAAAGATCAGGAAAGCACTTTACATCTAAATCTTTATCTTTAAAATCAATTGGAGCAGCATTGACTTTGAGCATTTGGTAGAGTTCTGAAATAGGAGCATTTCTCCTCCTTTCATGCGAGGGGTAAATAGTATATTGTTCATAGTCAGCCTCTTTTTCTGATGTAACTTGTGTTAGTAGCCCATCGTTTTCTCCTACAAAGTTATCTACTTGAGATTCTAATTGGTCTACTATATGATGGATATTGTACTCTTCGTTAATATAAGCAAACAATTGTTGAGGTGAATGTGGAAGTTGTATTTGAGAGTAAAGAGCTTTTACACATTTAAATAGTGCTGGTAAACTTTATTGACATCTACAATATCCTCCCACACTATTTTTGATTTTGTTGGCATACCTCGTACCATAATTGGGTGTTCTGGTCTAGGCAGCTTTTTCAAAGTTTCTTCAAGAGGCAAAGGAGGGTGAAAAGTTCTACCTTTTACTTTTTTCACCATATTCCTATTTGGTAAATGTTTGTTTGCAACAGGATTCATTAGCATTACTACCTGAAATGCTTTGGCGCGTTGAATTAATACCTTTTCATAGTCATTTAACTCAGCTATCTGTGGTGGAACAGTACTAACTTGTAGGTCATTTAGAACACAGGCTGCTGGCAGTTGATTTGCTCTAATTTTTTGTAAGCACGAGTGACAAATGTAGGGGCTGTGATCTAGATACTTGGTTTTGTAATAATTGGGAAGATTATTCCAAATACTGGTGTCTATAGCTTTTCTTAATCTTTTTAGCGATGAAATATCTTGAATAAAAAAGTTTTATACACGACATGCACTCAAACTTTGGAGTATCAAGACACTTTAGTTTTAGAGATTTAAACGCAGCCTTTATCTATGACATTATCCTCTACAATTTCTTGTGACTCTTCACTTTCCACAATAATACTGCCAGCTTTTTGTTATTTCCCGTGGTCTTTTATTATTTCTACGTCACATTTTTCTAATGATTCATCAATATCTTTTAAAATGTTAAAAATACTCTGTACTTGATATATTTCTCTTGAAATTGTCCTAAGACGAAGAAAATGCGCTTTGAGTAATTTAATATAATTTAAGCACTCTAACATTTTTTCTTTTTCAATTAATGTATAATACTGTGCTGCACTTTTGTTCACCAAACTTTCGAAAATGTTTGTTAATTGTATGATTACGTTCTCATCTAGAGCACACAGATCATTACAAGACCAAACTAAACTATGGCCATGCTTTTTCACATTCCCAAAGACCGCTTTTCCTGTATCGTCAATTTCTATAGCTTTGTCCTTGTTTTTAAATAAATTGTAAGCTTCTTCTAGTAGTAGTAGTAATATGGCTCCTGGTTATTTCTGTGCTCTGATTTTCCAAGAAAACATTCTAACCTGTAATTTAAAGAACTATCTGGAGGGCACGAACTTAGTTTTCCTAACGATACTTTAAGTTTATCTTTTAATTTATCAACAGTTTTATTAAAGTTTCCTAATATTTGCTGCCGGTTATGAACTGCCCATTTAATTAGTTTCTCCGCTTCTAATCTGTTCTTAATTTTATTGGTTAGCGCTTGAGTAATTTTTTCTAAATTTTTTAGTCGAAATTGTAATTTTTCATTTGATCTTTTCCTTTGGACAGTTTAAGATTTAGCTCAGGATGTAAGTCTTTATAACGTGCCACAACATCACGGTTAACTTCAGGATGAGAAGTAGTATAACGATATACTGCTTCTCGGTGAATTTCGGGGTGAGACGCAGTGTAACGCATTACAGCTGCTCTGTGAACTTCCGGACATGAAAAACTGTAACGAATTAATGTCTCCTTACGTTTTTCGGGTTTGTTCTGACGACAACGAGCCGCTGCTTCTTTGATTTGTTGAGAACGGGATAGTGCCGAAGTTTTAGGTCTTCTTTTATTAGCCTTTTTAGGTCTTCCACCCGTTTTAAGTAAGTTTTTATTATTTTTATTCGAACTATCATCATTTGGAGGCACTTCTGGAAGGAGCACTTCATAATGGCCACCTAAGAAATTTCCAGAAAATCGTAAACGTTTCACCGGATTACCAGAATCACCACCGAATGATCCTCTCAAAATGCCATTTTCGTAAACCTCGAAAGCATACGGATACAAAGCGGCGGCCACCATAAGTTCAGACGTGGAACCATAGGTGGTTGTTTTTATCATTACCGTCATGTACAAATCAGTATTAATGTAGGGGTTTCCACGCTCGTCACAAGTATACAGTTGTAACTTATCCCAATGCGCTACCACGTACTCGATTATAGCAAGTCTAATCTCATACGACGACTCAATATTCCCATACATAGAGAATGACAAAGAATGAAATAAACACGAACCGTCGCCAGGTATAGGGACAATCCAGTGTGGGCAAGGATTTTCATTTACATACAGTATTTCCGAATCCATTGCGACTACTAGTACTTGTACGCAAGAGTGTTTTTTGTGCAGGAATACGATTAATAGATAAACGTGACTCTACAGTACGTGAAACGTATATCTTAATATTATCCGAACAACGTCCAAATCCTTGGCAAATAATATATTATACAGGTAAACCAATGAGTAAACCTTCCAGTCGTCAAAGTAATAATAGAATATATAATCAAATCAATACTAAAATAATAATAATAATCGATATTACAAACGAAAAGGTAATATTACAACGTCTTAATATACGTTAAAATTATCCAAACATCATCCAAATCGTAAGCAAATAATATAAGTAAATCAATAAGTAAGAAGCTCTTCAGTGGTCAAACTAATATAGCAATCGAAATTATGAACGCAAATTTATAGGTAAGATTTCTAGGCACATCCGAATAGCAAGGGAGCACTCGCGCATATGAGCGCGGCGGCTGCCACGCCACCCGCTCGTTATCTCTGAACGCGCCGCGATCCGCCGGAACACCTCGCGGTTATTTACAACCTTACATACATATTATGAATACGCTCGTACATAGCAGCATGGCAACACTCATCATACGAGACGAGAGTTTTTTACAAGTTGCATTTGAACATAATTATACCTAGGTACCTATCTAAACCTATTATTCCATTATTAACGCACTTTGAGAAAGTAGTTTGTTCAGAATCATTTACTGAATCGATTCCTATCATTTTTAATATTGGTATTTTTATCCCAAAAATAATTAAAACTACGTAAATTACAGTCAAACTAAATCTGTACAGTTAAAATAAATTGAAATGGACCGTAACTTAAGGCAATAAGACTTTTAAGAGTGCAGTTTTATTTGTATTATTACTAATTCTGTCATTCAATAAAAATAAAGAAAAATGAACTTTATTTCAAGCAAGTTAAAGTCGTTGCATTCGTGGATTTGAACTGTGACCACAACGTTCTTCCGGAATTAGTATAACTAATTTGATAAATAATCAGTGCATAAAAATGTTTAACTAAAAATTCAGTGTATGTATCCTATACCTTTAAACGAGCAATTCTTGTATATATATAATCGGAATCTCGGAAACGGCTCTAACGATTTTCATAAAATTTAGTGTCCAGTGAGTTTCGGGGGCAATAAATCTATCTAGCTAGAATTTATTTTTAGAAAATGTCCTTTTGTCCGTGTTTTCAGGCAATAAAAAAAACTGCTACAATATAAGAAGGTAAATTTTGACAAACCGCTAACGATCGTAATAGCTCAGGCGGGATGTCGGTTGGGCATGATATCGGAGTTGTTGATCCGAAAACGCATGTTGATCCGGCGCCTTTTGTTGATCCAATATGCATCTCTGATCATTAGTTAATGTGGCTCCGACCGGATCAACATCTGCACTCACGAACCTGTTTGCTAGCGTTTGCTGAAGTTGATCCGATATACAAATCCACCTTGCGATGGTTACGGAAAATGTTGATCCGATTTAAATGAGCCAATCAGAGCACAGCAAACGATAAGATAAACGATCGTATTGGCTGAAAGCAGCCGCGACGTTGCCGTTTCGTATCTTTGGCGTTACAAGCTACAGATTAAATGCGTGTTCAATACAATAATGCATTCAGGGTGCTGTTGGGTCTGCCTCGTTATTGTAATGCGCCGGGTATGTTCGCGGATGCGCGTGTGGATTGTTTCTACACCATCATGCGTAAACGATGCACATCCCTAGTGTGCAGGGTGCGGGCCAGTTCCAATGATATCCTGAAGGCATTTTCTGACAGGTTTGAGGTCAGTACCTGAACTTTTGTCATATGGTGCACGTGCTGACTAATCGGGCCTCTCTTAGATTTAGTTTTAAAATTAGTTAAATAGTTTTAAGTTTTACGAAAATTAGTTTTTAAGATTTGTATTATTACTAACATCTATGATCCTTGTGGTCGAAATAAACGACTTTTTTAACGTATAACTCGACAATGCCCCTTCTTGTAGCGGAAGTGGTAGCAACGGCGGCATAAGGTATTCGTCTGAGTGCATGTGTGTGTGTGTGTGTGTGTGTGTGTGTGTGTGTGTGTGTGTGCGTGTGTATGTGTGTGTGTGCACGCGGGTGCGAACGTGTACTTGCAAAGTGAGTGTGAGTTTGTGTGTGCGCGTACGTGTGGGTGTATGTGTGTTCGTCTGAATGCATGTGCGTGCCCGTGTATGTTAGTGTGTTTTTGAGTACGTGTGTGTGTGACAGTGTGCGTGCTTGCGTGTGTGTGTGTGTGTGTGTGTGTGTGTGTGTGTGTGTATGTGGGTGCGTGTATGTGTGTGTGCACGCGGGTGCGAACGTGTGCTTGCGCAGTGAGTGTGAGTTTGTGTGTGCGCGTACGTGTGGGTGTATGTGTGTTCGTCTGAATGCATGTGCGTGCCCGTGTATGTTAGTGTATGTGTGCGTGCGTGCACTGTTATGTTTTTTGAGTACGTGTGTGTGTGACAGTGTGCGTGTGTGTGTGTGTGTGTGTGTGCGTGTGTGTGTGTGTGATGTGTGTATGTGTGTGTGTGTGAATGCGAGTGCGTATGCGCATGTGTGTGTGTGTAGTGTGTGTGCGTGTGTGTGTACGTATGTGCCTGTGTGCTTGTATGCACTGTTGTATGTGTGTGCGGCAGTGTGCGTATGTGACTGCGTTTATTCGTGTGCGCATGTGTGCATGATTGCGCGCGCGCTTGCGTGTGTGTGTGTGTGTGTGTGTGTGTGTGTGTGTGTGTGTGTGTGTGTGTGTGTGTGTGTTGTAGTGCATTACCTAGAAGTTTTATATTTCATGCGCGAGTCCCGTGTGACTCTGCTGCGCAAGCGCGTTTAGCATAAGTTAGATTTTATAAGAAATGATTGTATTTGGGACTCAATAAACGACCGTCGTACGGTGAAGACGTATCTTTTCTTTTCCCCACGCGTACCATGCCTCATGGCGACCATGCCAGGATGCTAACAAAGAAATTACCCACTAAGTGAAAAACCAGTGCAAAAAAAAAACCAAATTCGGAAGAAAGAAGAAAACCTTATAGAAGAAAGAAGAAAACCTTACAGAAGAATGAAGAAAACCATATAGAAGAAAGAAGCACAAATTCTGAAGAAAGAAAAAAGAAGCGCCCTATTTTAAAGAAAACAAAAAAAAACCAAGAAGAAACGCCAGAAATCCAAAGAGAAATAAAGGTACGAAATGGGAAAATCGCAGTCGAAAGAAGTAGTCATAGCACAAAACGCAAATGGTGCAGCATCCGCAAATACAAGCCTAGAAGACGCTCACACAAACCACATCATACAAACCCTCATGATTGTATCCGTGGTCATACTGGCTGCAGCAGTTATCTGTTACCTGATGAAAAAATGCAGTAAGAGTGCCGTGAAAACTCTGAGGCGAGAACTCAACGCAATCTCGCTTGAAAACATCGCCCGCCCTACAACTAACTAGAAGATCTCAAGAGGTGTCCAGGGTAATACCCGGCCCAACATAGAGGTAGGGTAATACCCGGCCCGCTTCAAGAAGATGACCTCATGCAGCCACACATCCTGTTTGCAGTGCTGTTCCCGCTTGCTCGCGCCGCCCTAAAAATGGTTACATCCACAAACACCATCGCCCCGCCCTTGTAATTAGTATGTACGTGATATTTTAACAAGTAAGTGAAATTATAATTTTTAAGTGTTTTTACATGGTGTGTAAATAATAGTTTCCTTTTCCTTTACTGTTAGAAATTATATTTGTCGATTTTTTCAATGTCACTAGCTGAACTAAATAATGTGTACAGTAGTTTAAAAGAAATTAGAGATTATCTAGTGAAAATCGGACCAAAACGTAGAGAGAGTTCCGATACAGCAAAAGAAAAAGTTAGTGAAGCGAAAAATCTGTACAGTCGTTTGGAGTATATTTCGTCTAAAATCAAACTAAAAATAGAGAATTCTGAGATAAGTAGCGATGATTTTCAGGTTATTAATAGATGCATAGACGACATACATATCTTGTACAGTAATATTTTAAATTTAATGTCTCGTGAATCAGAAAGTTCCAATAACTCAGCCAGCATGGGCGCCTTTGATTTAAAAACGGCAATAGCCCTATTGCCAATAATGACAGGCCACGAAAATATTACTACTCAACTGATATTTTTTGAAGATAGTATTGTGATGTATAGTGATATGCTTAACGAAAATGGCAAAAAAACAATTAATTGATTTCGTTTTGAAAACTAGACTGACCCCTAGCGCCAAGCTGAGGTTAAAATCTAGCTACGAGTCCGTGAGTAGTCTGGTTTTAGATATGCGCACTCACTTAATTCAGAAGAAATCCGCGGTAGCATTGCAATCGCAGCTTAATAGCGCAAGCCAAGGCCGTAGATCTATTGATAAGTTCGGCTCTGAGTTAGAACAGTTGTTCGTCAACTTGACTATAGCACAGGCTGACGGTGATGACAAAAAATACGAAACACTTCGTCCTTTGAACGAGAAAATTGCGATTAAGCGTTTCGCAGACGGATTATCAGATTCGCGTTTGAGCATTATCATAGCCTCCCGACAATTCCAGTCTCTTCCAGAAGCGATTCAAACCGCGCTGGACGAGAGCACATCATCAGCTCGTAACGAGCATGTGTTGAACATTTACCGCAGTCGTGACAATCAGTTTAATAGAAATAAAAGAGGCCCTAATAACGCTCGCTCAAATACTAATTATAACCATCAGAGAGCGCAAAGCGGATCGAATTCCAGGACATTTTACAGGGTAACTCTCGAGGGCTCAATCGTGGTAGGTACCAACGGGGTACTTCGCGAGGCCGAGGTCGGTACAACCCATCTCGCCCAAATGTAAACGCCCGCGTTTCTCAGATACAATCGGAGCACATTGAGAGCGTGGAACGCACTCAATCTGCACCGAATAGTGAGTTTTTTCGCCCCTACAATTAGTGATCATTTCGTTTGTAATTATAGCATAAACAATGTAGTAGATTTAAATGTAAGTAATAATAGCAAGGTAAGTCTTT